AGGAGGGAAACCAAATCAATGCACCGAGTGTGGGAAGTGCTTCAGTCCAAAAAGTCACCTTAATACCCATAAAAGAATCCACACAGGTGAAAAGCCCTATAAGTGCACCGAGTGTGACAAATACTTGACCACGTTGTGGGGCCTCACTTGCCACAAAAGGCTCCATACTGGGGAGAAACCATATGAATGCCACATGTGTGGAAAGAGATTCAGTGTAAAACAAAGCTGTATTGTACATAGCAGAAACCACACTGGGGAGAAACCCTATGAATGCTTGGAGTGTGGAAAAACCTTTAGTAACACCTCTTCTCTAACCATACATAATAGGATGCATAAAGGGGAAAATCCTTATAAATGCCTGGAGTGTGGAAAGAGCTTCAGTGATAAAGGTCCTCTTAAGTCACACGAGAGGATCCACACGGGAGAAAAACCATTTCAATGTATGGAGTGTGGAAAGAGCTTCTATACCTCTACAAACCTTACTGCTCATCACAGAAGCCACACAGGGGAGAAGCCCTTTCAATGCCTACAGTGTGGAAAGCGCTTTGCCAGTTCTGGTGGCTTTCATGCCCACAAACAGACCCACACAGGGGAGAAACCCTTTCAATGCCTGGAGTGCAGAAAGAGCTTCAGTCAAAAAGGTCAACTTAAGTCACACGAGAGGATCCACACGGGAGAAAAACCATTTCAATGCATGGAGTGTGGAAAGAGGTTCCGTGCAAAAAGTAGCTATATCGGACATAGCAGAATCCACACGGGAGAGAAACCATACAAATGCCTGGAGTGTGGAAAGAGCTTCAGCAAAAAAGGTCAACTTAAGTTACACGAGAGAATTCACATGGGAGAAAAACCATTTCAATGCATGGAGTGTGGAAAGAGCTTCTGTCGCTCTGTATCCCTTACTGACCATCACAGAATCCACACAGGGGAGAGGCCCTTTCAGTGCCTACAGTGTGGAAAGCGCTTTGCCAGTTCTGGTAGCCTTCCTGCCCACAAACGGATCCACACAGGGGAGAAACCATACGAATGCCTGGAGTGTGGAAAGAGCTTCAGTCAAAAAGGTCACCTTAAGTCACACGAGCGGATCCACACGGGAGAAAAACCCTTTCAATGCATGGAGTGTGGAAAGAGCTTCCGTGCAAAAAGTAGCTATATCGGACATAGCAGAATCCACACGGGGGAGAAACCATTTCAGTGCCTGCAATGTGGAAAGCGATTTTCCCGTTCTGATAGGTTTCGTGCCCACAAACGGACCCACACAGGTGAGAAACCGTAGAAATGCCCTGGAGTGTGGAAAGAGCTTTTGTAAATCCAGCATCTTAACTTCCCATCAAAGTATGCACAGAGGAGGGAAACCAAACCAATGCACCAAGCGTGGGAAGTGCTTCAGTCAAAAAAGTCATCTGAATACCCATAAAAGAATCCACACAGGCGAAAAGCCCTATAAGTGCACCATGTGTGACAAATGTTTCACCCATTCATGGGACCTCAGTTGCCACAAAAGGCTCCATACTGGGGAGAAACCATATGAATGTGTGGAAAGAGCTTCAGTGCAAAAAAAAAAAGCTGTGATGTACATAGCAGAATCCACACTGGGAGAAACCCCATGAATGCTTGGAGTATGGAAAAAGTTTCAGCAGAAGGAGCAATTTAAGCTTACATAATAGGATCCATACAGGGAAGAGCCATATCATTGCAAGATGTGCAGAAAGAGCTTCACAGAAAAAGGCAATTTCAACTTACATAAGAGGATCCACACCAGAGATAAGCCGTATAAATGTGCAGAGTGTGGAAAATGCTTCAGGATCTCCGATGCCCTTAACTTCCCATAAGAGGATTCACACAGGGGGGAAACCCTATAAATGCCTAGAGTGTGGAAAATGTTACAATGATAGTGGCAGTCTTACCTCCTAAAATAGAATCCACACAGTGGAGAAACCATTTGAATGCATCGAGTGTGGAAAGAGTTTAAAAGCCTCACTCGCCCCCCTCCTCCTGCCTCCGCTTTTTTTTTTTTAAATACACTTTATTGATTTTACAATTAAAATAGACCAACAACATACATAAATGGAAGAGAGAAAAGGAAAATAAGAAAAAAAAAATAGATTTCTAATTTCTAATTTTCTGCCAATATTTTTGAGTTTCTGTACAAGACCACCACATATGGAAGAAAGTTCCCTCTTTTTTTTTTTTGCATTTCCAGCAGTTCGGACTCATTGGGGTGCATCTTCGCTAATTTCAAAGGAGGAAGGTGCCACCTGTAAAACATTTTATAGGAATTTTCTTTGTACGCTACCGATTTTGTTATTCCTACCCCAGACCTTTTCCCATTCTGTTAAGGTGATACTATGTCCTATATTCCTACTCCAGGCTATCATGTTCCCTTTAACAATTTCTTCCTCTAATTCTACCTCTAATAATTCTAAAATTTTCTTTGTTTGTTTTTTTGCCTGAGCCTAATAAAATTTTATCTAATTGCTGGAGTTTATTATTAATTCCAAATTCTTTCTTGTCCTGTTTGTATCTACTTTGAATTTGAAGATATGCCCACCGGTCAGTTTTTAATCCCTGATCCTAAAGGTCTTGCCACAATTTCAGATTTCCT